TAAGTACACACATGATGATTGAAACGAAACAAATCGCGACCAGATCTTTGTGAAAGTGCGAAGCGAGCGAGAAAAAAAAAGAAAAAAAAGAAAAAAAGATAACCGCCAGAAACCGTGGTGGAAGGAGGCAGATGAAACGCAAGAAACAGGTACATTCCTTATGTACCGTTCGTAGTTCCTGTCTCCACGATCTTCGCTAGCGCCCGAAGGGAATCCATTCGTGTGGACATTCGACAGAAGAAAGTGGGGATTGATTGTTATGACCAGGGACGGGAGGGATCAGATGTTTTTGAGAATGCGGAAGCCTGGAGTTGTCCATGTGCGACATTCATTCCTCCTTTCCTCCTGCTCGACGGCATTTTCCATTTTTTGACCTGACATCTTCCAGAAGCCAATTTGTGAATCCCTGCGGGTTTCATAAATCATTCTACCGACTGTAGATCTCTACACTACTGGAACTCGTCTCGAACTGCTTGACTGTTACTGAACGAAGCTACTGTAGACATAACATCAGTCTGTTCTCTTCAGCCCTGCCGGTACGGCAGTCCACGTGCCTATCTACGCAGGGGAGACACGGATTTTCAGACGAGGAGGACATCAGGGATACTATTTGTACTGATACTAGTCTCTCGTATCTTTATTGCCTTTCAATGCAAGACATACCTATCAAGCTACCCGACGGCGATGAGATGCAGCTTCGAATTAAGCCGCCTTTCGCCTGTGTCTTAAATTCGGGAGCACCACCGCTGGACACCAATGGACACTTGACTGGACTGGTGGAGGCGAATGGGGCTAGGCAACACAATTCTCTACCCTTTGATACGCCATTCGGCCCAGGTCCGGTCCCTTTCACCCATTGTTGCGTAGTACAGGTTATGAAACAATGAACATGATGCTGTCTACCAAACGCCCGATGGCCCACCAAGGAAGGCCGTGTGCGCCGCAGCTTGGCTCGGCTTCCTCCCGAAGAAACGTGGTGATTTAATCTCGGTCGACTACCTCAATTCATGACAGTCAAACTGCCCTCGGAGAAAAACAGTCAATGATAGGCTCAGGATGACATGACGGTTGTTATGTTTCCTAAGATGTGCTGCCATCCCCTTCTTTCTTTCCTTGATTTTCTTTCTGTGTTGGGCGTCGATATTTAGGCTTCATGCAGACTAAAATGTGGATCGGGAGAGGGGGGTGGCAGTGAAATGACATGGTAACAACGGACAAACCCGGGGCCTTCTCCCCTCCCTCTTGCGAGTATGAGATGTGATGGGTAAGAATAGAGATGATGATAAAAGAAATTCAGGAAAAAACTTGAAGAAAAGGAAAAGAAAGAAAGGGAGGGAAGAAGAAGAAGAAGGAGAACGCATCATCTTTCCTTGGTTAAGCGCAGAAAAGAACATATTGCACTCTTCCGGATCTAGCTCCTATTTCCCAGTACAGCTTCGGATTTACACGGTCCCTTGCGTTGACGACCGTGTGGAAAAGTGTCCGGAAAAAAATACAAATAAAGATGTAAAGGACAGCAGGAAAAAAAAAAAAAAGTATGCCAAAACGCCTAACCATGAATAACCATCTGTGATTACAGCTAGATTTTTTCCGTCACTACACATGCTCCAAGGCTCAAGTATATCACCATCTGTAATACTTGAGTGTGCCCTAAGCATTTACTCCGTAAAAAGGCTATGTTCCTGCATTGCGCTGGCCATCAACGGACCCCTCAGCAAAGACACGTAGGAACACAAAATATCATCCACACAAATCCCTGGTAGTCAACCACAACTCCTCCGACCTTGTCGACATCGAACGGTGAAGCGAATGGTGAGACTGTGGTGAATTGAAGGCTAGTGTCGAGTACTCGGAAAGAGGCGAAACAATGTCGCATGCAGCGATACTGGGCATCGTACCGGGTATCTCCTCCCGCGGTGGCGTATTGTTGCTGTTCGCTACCGCCCAGCCGAGTGATCTTGCGGAGATCCTTTTGTCGAAGGATGGCGGTTCTTCGTTTGGAGCTGGTAAGATCATGCTTCGACGTTGCCCTTGATTCCACCACTGGTTCTCAAAGCCGTTGTCCACCGTCACCATTGCTGCTGATAGTTCCTCTAGATCTCGTACACTGCCCGGCTCGGAATCTTCACAATCTTGTAATTTGCTTGGTCCAGGCGAGAAAACAGAGATGCCTGTGACAGGGCTAGCTTCGTAGATGAATGCTTCATTATCCGGATGGAAACTAGGTATGCTGTGCTGACGGTGATGGCCCGATGGGTGGTCGGAGACATCATCATTCTGTGAACCCGCCCCTGTTTCGAAAACCGTTGGTGATGACCATGGCATACCGGCCTCTCCGAGACGAAACCGATTTGGGGCCGCTGGTAGGGCTTTCCAAACATCCGACGGAGGACGTGGGGACAGCTCTGCTATTGAATTCGATGGTCCCGCCGCCTCTTCCCCCGCCAATCCTACACCCCAGGGGTTATCACCGGTAGGTGGTGGTGCCGATTGACCCCTCTCCCCAACAGGTCTCGACCCGGACCGGGACCGTCGTTGCTGCTGCCGGGGTGGCGTTGATGGTTGAGCTGGACCATAATATCCGGGTACTTGATAGTACTCCTGCATTTGGTGATGGGGACCAAGACGAGTGCCCGGTATCGAAGCAATAGGGTCGATCTGTGAAAGTGGGCGAGCAGCTTTCCGGCTTTCTCGGGTCCTTGATTGCCTTTGCTCGAAATCATGGACGGCGGCTAGGTAGGTGGGATCAGGGGCGGACATTTGACGGGGAAGCTTGGGACCCGGACATTGCTCTTTCTCGCGCACCGCCTTTGATCCTCTTGATCCATATGTCACTTCATGGTGCTTGTGTTGTTTCTTTGAAGTCCACGAGATGCCAACCTCCAGGTGAACATAGATATGCGGTCCTCGGCGTTCGCGGTATGATGGTGATGAAGGTCGATCCATGATGTTGTCCAGACCTCGGCGAGCTGTACCAGCTGGTGAAGCAGTGTGATTGACGATGAATTCAAGATATGAGGAGGATATTAGAATATGTGTAAGGGAGTGATTAAAGCCTCAGCAAGCGTCGTTGAAGCGGGGGTAAGGGGGTGGGTGAATTTAGAGAATGGGAGGAGGAGCAAAGCTAAAGCCAGCGGCAGGTCAGCTAAGCCGCCCGCGACTCACAAATACAACAAAGAAGGTTTCTGTTGGGTTGGTGCCGTGGACCCGATTTAGTCTCCTGTGATGGTCAAGAAGTGCTCCGGGGATAACGGGCAGGCGGCGGTCAGGGCAAGGATTTGTCAATGAGCCAGGGACGAAAGTCCATCCATCTGTATCATCAAGGTATGGCTGTGGGGAGTAGTGCAATCCAGATCTAGTTGCATGCACCGCCCAGATCCCGTAAGATGGAACGGAGCTAGAAAAAGCGGCAGCCTAGACTAGTGATGTGGATGTCGGACAATTCCCGGATGACCGACCACTGCTTGTTGCCGCGTCCGAGCGGACGGGTCCAATATCGGGCAATTATTGCACTTTTTTCTTTCTTTTCTTGCTGTTCCTGGATCAAGACTTGGATGTCGAAAGCTTCTTTGTTGCGGTGTCGCCGTGTGCTCTCCGAGAAACTGTGCCGTCCTGGTGATAGTACGCGCTGCCTGGTTTCGCGGGAGACAGCCAACTGAAGCTCCTCGGCCTGGTGAACTGTGGCTACCTATGAGGAAACCTAAGTAGGTAAGTACTAGTACGTAGTTATAAGACGACTGCGAAATGGCCACCCGTGACAAGCACAGCTCTTGCTTTGTGTTTGCTTTTTGCTGGTCCGAGATAGTGGCTTGCTTTAGTGTAGATAGCGGAAGGAATGATGACCCCGCCCTCTTCCACTCAGCTCTAAACTTCTTCCTATTTGCGAGTACGATTTGGCTGCGTCTCGGAGGGGGTTCATTACTGAATGCGGGGCAAATTGTTGTATTTAAGTTGGGAGGCACGAGAAAGGTATGGTGTACCATAGTGTCGGGTTCGCTACCTGCCCGGTTTCTTCCATCCTTGATCGACCCCCCACCGTATCAAAACAGAAAGATCATCTCTAGCCGACATGTTATGGACATCGACCCGATGTTTGCAATACATACCCAAGTGGCCAGGTTTCATTAGAATCTGTAATGCCACAAAAACATGGTCGTCGAGAGATGAACGTGGTACATATCGGCCACCACCGAATGTCCAATCAATGCTCGCATTCAGCTTGTAATTGTGGGGTGGGGATCGCTTCCCGTCCCGGACGACCGGCCCCCAACACCTCCGACGCTCCCCCGTTCTCTCCGGCTTTGCTCCACAGTTTGTCTCGAATGGCCGGCAACCCTCCGGATCGACACTTCTTCTTACCTCCATCTAGGTACCTATATTTCATGCCTTAGATGGAGGGTTCGGCTAGTATGGATTGTCCCTGATAACCTACTCGTATACCCCCTACATATATGTTCCTCACCATGCTATGATGCAGTTGGTTCTTGATTTCACGTCACAGTCGGCATTGCGCATTTCACTCCAGACTGGAAAGGGAATCTGAGCTCTGTCTGAGAAATGTTTCGTAACTCGGTTACTCTTCGGCGAACAATGATCACATGCAGTTGATCATCTCGGCAACGCGTGAGCCTTGTAAGTGATTCACTCGATGCCTTCAGGTATTCCTCCGTTTTTTTTAGCACTAGGCCGATGCGAAATGTCCCGATAAAGGCATACTGGTCGCGACGAACGGCCGGAGAAAGCAAACTATTCATTTAGATCCCACGTGAATGCTTAGCGCCAGGAATGATGAGTAAACATTGGCACCGTTGAGCTGGGCGGAGGTGTGGCGTTCGCGGCATGGCTATGTGCGGTTGCTGATTATTTCGTGTTAGGATTGGGTAGAGAAATCTATCTAGAGACAAAAAAAAAAAAAAAAAAAAAAAAAAAAAAAAAAAATACGACAATGGCTTTCACAAAGCTTCCATCCCAGAAATCTCGGACTCGACCGACTGACATGCTCATCTCGCCGCTTCAACATCCTCATTGACATAATCCTTAGCCTTGACCTTTTGGCTTTCCAGCTTGTCAGCTTCGTGCCCGTCATCCTCCTCCCAAAACTTTACGTTACCATCCCTTTTTCCCCTGATCAGCCCTCCCAGATTGAACGGATCAACTAGCGTCAACAAGAACGGTCTCGAGTCCTTGTATCCCGGCCCAGTGACTTCGGTCTTGCCGTCCCTTGCCGACAAATACGTCTTTGTGCTTTTCGGCAGGTACCTCCTCGGATGCCTGACGTTCATCAGCACATGGTTCACAAGCATCAGACTCGCCTCAAACACGTAAAAGAACCACTCGTAACGGATGATGGGGCTGAGCGACATCGGATCCAGAGATTTGTCGTCGTAGTGAAGGTCCGCCACGCTCCAGTACTCGACCACCCGGTAGATGGTCCGGATGGTTAGGAGGCTTGTTGATGCGTAGAGCGTGTAAAGAACATTCTCGAGCTTGGCGCTCCTAATGCCGCTTCGACGGCACCGCCTGTGGAATGTACCGGCTAGGAGAAGGAAGAAAGCGATAACAACGAGCTGGATAAGGAGCGCGGCTTTGAGGAGGTTCCGACCAAGTTCTTGTTTCCAGCGCGGAAGAGACTGGTTGGCGCTTAGCGATGCACCGTTGCCGTTGAGTGCCTCGACAACGGTGGAGATGAAGGCGAAGGTAGTGATAACGCGGCCAGGATGGATCGGTGAGTGGTAGGGGACGTAGTACAGAATCCTTCCGAGGATGTTATAATTGGCCAATTCGGCGATGGGTCTAATAAGAGGTTAGTGATTTGTCTTGACAGCAGCTTTCGTGCTGATCGTCGATACTCACGGCGCTGCGTATACCAGACAGGTGGTGACGATGAACTTGACCAGGTCACCATAATCAAAGGCACCAAGTTCTCTGACAATGAAGCCGGCGGTGAAGAGGACAGCGCATGTGACGTAGAAGCTGGTTAGTCTCCAGCTTTTGTAGTGACTAGCGCGATCAAAGTAAGTAACTTGTTTTTCTCCCGAGCTGTGTGGTATCAGAACATAAAGGCTTACAAGCACTGATAGATATGACAGATGCCAGATGCCGCGAAGGCAACGGCAAAGAATACTGGAGCGCCCTTATTGGGGGCATAGAAATAGATACTGCCGTCAACTTGAAAGAGATCCTGTCAACTGCGCTCTTAGCAATAGTACATGGAACATTTGGTAACAAACCGTATCTTCCGTCCGACATAGTGAGGAGAGTTTCCAAGCAAAGTCCGAACGTCCAAGTATTTCTTCGAATGTTCACTGGGGTTATTGTAAAAACACATCCGTATCAAGAGCAATGCGAAGACTTTGCAGCCTTTTTATGGGTTTTCGCCGTGGGTTTCGCATCTCAAACTGCACATATCTCGACCTCATCGTCAACTAATCCCCTGGTCGGTTTAGTCGCTTTCGTCGCTTTCGTCGCTTTGCGCCCAAATTCAGCCATCAGCACAGCCTTACCGTAGTCATCACATACATCGCATTGGTTCTTCATGTTGGACGAATGAGGTGATCACCTTGCAAGCCAGGGGTAAGATTTCCCTCCGCAGATTGTGGATTACTGTGGCTGTACAAGGCAGTTGAATATAACTAGTGTAGTGGTTCCGTGCTTACTTACATGCCCTTTCCGCCTTTTTCGTTCGCAGAACCCCGTCAATCTTTGTTCGTAGTATGTTTAATCCCGGTTAACGTTGTAAGCAATTGGTTAGTGGTTGAATGCGAGGATGCGCTGTTCGTTCGACAACTGGTTCTTTTTAGCTATTCTGGAAATTCTATGGGCCAGCTAGCACACAGCCTGGATAAATTGAAGCGCATGGTCGCTTGTTAGATGAAACGAAAAGCGGTCTTAGGTAGTTTTGAATGTGATGACGGAAGATAACAAAAAAAAATCGCCTTTAATCTTCGCAGGCATGCCTCTAGGCTCGGCAATGTGATGGGCACAACGAGCAATATCACTGAAACGTTTCCCTCATGTCAGATGCCTGACCGAGAACTGGCGCAATGGAGACCGTCGTTGGCCTCCTGAGTTGCCAACTAGGCTAGGTGGACGGCGTAAGATTCTGAAAACAGTTCTCGAGTTATACCGTCCTCCAAACAACAAAAGTCTTCACTACCCAGATTCTACAACAGCCCTGCTTGTGAAATGGGAATAAAATCATCTAAACCATAAAGCCCTACTTGATGAAACGCCGCCCATATAGCCCTCGTGGTAACAAACAAACGCCTTTGCCCATTCTTCGACCATGGGGAATAAATCGGGCAGTAAGTAAGAAATAGCAACGCAATGTGAAAACCGCCTTAGCATCCATGAGTTGAGACTGGCCTGCATGCAATGTTGGAAGAAGTAGCCGCTTTCACGTCATATCAATCTCAGTGGTCGTGTTCCGCGGACGACCATTGTCTGTCCAAAGGCCCACGGCAGCATCGGCCTCCTTGTGGGTATAGGGACCCTCCTTGAGCTCCTTCAACCTGTTTTTAGTCCAGCCACGTCAGTTTTCAGACCGTTCAATGGCTCACATCAGAAAAAAAAACAGAAAAAAACAAGAGAACTCACCTCCTCTTGTGAGGCTTGCCCTTGGTGTGCTTGACAAGAGTCGATTCCATATCGAACCACTTGGCGCACTCGACGCAGTAGTGTCTTCCCAGACCAGGCAGGTCCTCCACGGCCTTGGCCTCCTTGTAAAGCTCCAAGTGTCTGGCATTGATCAAATCCTTCTGGACCTGATCCACATCTCTGTTTTTTTGCACGACGTCAGTTGTCCAATCGACGCAACGATGTGTGTAAACAATGAAGTCTGTCACTCACCTCAGACGACGCCTGGTCTTGCACTTTGTGCGCTTAGCAAAGATGCCCATTTTGAACGGTGAGTGACCTCGGTTGTACCCGACTCTAAATGTGTCAGGATGGAGTTGGAAGTCTAAAATCCAAGTGCGATTACTGTGACGGCGTGGTGGTTGTTGTCGTCGTCGCAGTGAAGGTCTCGACGACGGCGGCGATACATAGACATGAGAGAGGCTCTCATACAGAAGGGGTCCAGCAACGAAGCACAATTGACAAAAAAGTGGAGAAAAAACTCAGCAGCACAACACCTGCGAACGACGGCGGCCTGCCTTGCCGCCCACTGAATTGGAAACTTGACAATTTCATGGCTTGGCAGCTGTAAAGGCCAGCTGTCAGCTTCCGACACCTGGCGCGGGCTGCTTACACTAGTTGCTTCACTGACAACCTAATATTCATCATGTGAAACCCAGATCGGCTCGATGTGGAAATCCACGGAGATCCGGTCTGGACTACGTACCAACCTTGAAATGCCGTGAAAAGCCCACCGGCGCGCCGAGGAACGGAAACGGCACGGCGCTGACACCCAACTACTTTTTCTCGAAATCCCCATCTCTCGACGACTTCTTCCGGTGGTGTTGCGAACTTGCGCTGGTCCTCACTCTTTCTCGGAGCGCCGTCCGTTCTACGAACCAAGGAGAAGGAGGGGCGCCGCCGCAGCGCCGGAGCGAACGCAGCGAACCGAGCGAACGGAGCTAACAAGCCTTATCGCCCTCGAATCTCCTTTCGCGGCCGAGAGGAACCAGCGAGCTGGCAAGGGTTCTGGATTTTCTCCATTTCCCACTACCTTCGCCGAGCCGGCCAACGAGCCGGGGACCCCACCCTAAGGACTGTCTCCAGATTTGCAGAATTTTTATCATTTTCAGCTGGTCCCTGGCGCCCAAAGACGGTTTTTGAAGCTGGTACTTGGACAACTAACAGATGATGGAAATCGCAGAGCCGACGCGTTGAGCCTTTGGGGCTTGGGGATGAAGGTTCAAGGTTGTGTCTTCTCGTCAACACCTCGTAACTGACCCTCTGGTTCGCGGGTCATGTTGCGCCCCCCCCTCTCTCCCCCCCTTTCCTTTTGAGATGGCCTTTCTTTGAGGGAGAGCTCTCGGGTCTTGACTCGTTGACCTTTGATGGCGAGCCAATCACAGGCCGTGGAAGATCGGGTGGCCGTGTGTTCTGTTAGGATTTGCGTCACTGGTTGGAACCAGCCTTGCAGTCCACATTTGTTGTTCAAGCGTTCGAGGACGTTCCATCCCGTCTGCCCCACGTCAGGATGATCGAGGCGGGGACAGCAATTATAACACGGTGACCCTGAGCGAACCGGCATTGGCGAATGAGGCATTTGCTGGATAAGAGATCCATCACCGTGCGATGGAAATAGCAATGAGGAGATTGGCTTTACTTGCCTGGCACCACCGGCTGTATATGATGAAAGGAAAGAGAAGTAATACCATGGAAGCATACATGTATGCGAACAGAGGACCGGCGGGAGATGGAGTTTTATCATTGACAGCAGCAGCTCGGCGGTTGACATGGCTGCCTGTGGCTGCAGAGTGTAAAGCCAGCAAGCACATGCCATCCGAGCCGAGCGGCAGTCCCGTCTGGGGTGGCACGCACGACAGCAGGTCAGGTACATACACAGGAGGCTACTGTACCTCTCTACATTAGTTTACCATCCGTTATTACTGGCCAGGCGAACGTCCTCTCCTCCTTGACCACGAGACGGTGAGGTTGAAGATTCGGGATTCGCAATCTAGTTTAATCCCCGGACGGACCGGTGAAGACGAGGATTCTGGGACACAGAGATCCTGAGGTCCGGATGCCCAGGAAATAATTCAGTATCGATCAGCAGCAAACCATGGCTGCCTCGGCTTCGACGGTCAACCCACGCGAGGCTTCTTCTCCTTGACATGTACACTACATAGGTATACCTATTTAACTTTGTTCGCTGGGGCACATCGTTGCGCCCTGAGACGTCCGGGGTCCCCGTTTACAAAGACATGTGTACACACGTATCGAAGAAGTATAGTCGCCGTAAGGGATGCACAGTCCAGGGTTACCTATCCGTCGAAAGGCTGAAGGCGCTCCGTGAAAGCATCCCGGCCCAACGGTCGTGGCAGTCGACCCCCTGAGGTTGCTGGAGTCGCTGGAAGTGCCTCTGGGCCGCGAGGTCGGACGTCGATGCGGTGACGGTCGGCGGTAGGCGGCGGATTTGCAGCGGATTCCCGGAAGCTGGATCGTGAAACCCGAGGAACGACGGACGCTGCGGGCGCATGGCCTTTGATGGGCCAGCATGGTTCTCGGCATCAACGTCAAAGTCAAATTGAAACAGGCTAGCGTCGCCTTTCACTGCCTTGCACCCGATGTCATCTCTGGCTCCCCCACACTGCAAAAGTGATCAAGAGTTAGAATCAGCCGCCTGCTGATTGGCCGGCCGCGCGATCCATTCGGGCGAGCCAGGTACTTGTTCGGCTATGACGGTGGGAGGGGAGCTCCAGCGGGTGGGCAGCAAGTAGGTTCGAAGGCAGGGAGTCGCATTTACCCCCCCGGTGGTTGACACAGCAAGCAGCAGCCCGCGCCCGCTCGGTCCATGTCGCTCGCTGCCAGTCTGTGGTTGGCATTCCGACCTAAAATCCCGCCCGCTCCCGTGGACCGCTTGAGCCAGTTTCTTGTTATCTACAAAACCTCTCCACCCGGCCGTATTTTTTTCCCTCTTTTTCCCTCTTTGCAGACGTCCATCCCTCTGCTGAAGAAAAAGCCCGTTCTAGTTTGGGGAGCCCGTCTTTCCATTCTTTTTTTCTTCTTCTCTTAATTTGTCCTTTTGCGCAACTCTCCGCTCCTGTTGTTATTCATCCCCTGCTCTTTGAGCTGAAAGTCAATATGTTGGCCTCCCGTCAGCTCTTGGGCGTTGCCCGGAGCCGTGCCGCCGCTGGCCTCGGCCGCCGGTGCATGGCTACCGCCACCGAGAACCCCCTCGACCGCAAGGTGAGTCCCCCCCCCAGCGCCGCATAGAGCGCACAGAGCGAATAATACAGTCGCAACGAGCGCAACAGGGCGCTGACCGGGCATGTTTGTGGGAAACAGGTCAAGCAGAACCTTCTTGAGGAGGGTAACTTCATCAACTACAAGAAGATGTCCGAGAACCTCGCCGTTGTCCGCAGCCGTCTCAACCGCCCCCTCACCTACGCTGAGAAGATCCTCTACTCTCACTTGGACAACCCCCATGAGCAGGACATTGAGCGCGGTGTTTCTTACCTCCGCCTCCGCCCCGACCGCGTTGCCTGCCAGGATGCCACCGCCCAGATGGCCATCCTCCAATTCATGTCCGCTGGCATGCCCTCGGTTGCCAACCCCACCACCGTCCACTGCGACCACTTGATTGAGGCCCAGGTTGGTGGTGAGAAGGATCTCGAGCGCGCCATCAACATCAACAAGGAGGTCTACGACTTCCTTGCCTCCGCCTGCGCCAAGTACAACATTGGTTTCTGGAAGCCCGGCTCTGGTATCATCCACCAGATCATCCTCGAGAACTACGCTTTCCCCGGTGGTCTCCTCATCGGCACTGACTCCCACACTCCCAACGCCGCCGGTCTCGGTATGGCCGCCATTGGTGTCGGTGGTGCCGATGCCGTCGATGTCATGGCCAACCTCCCCTGGGAGCTCAAGGCCCCCAAGGTCATTGGTGTCAAGCTCACCGGTGCTCTTAACGGCTGGACTACCCCCAAGGACGTCATTCTCAAGCTCGCTGGTATCCTCACTGTCAAGGGTGGCACTGGCTCTATCGTCGAGTACTATGGTATGTTTCACTTGTCCAATCACGTTTGCCATTTGATTGAATCCATTTTGGGGATCCTATCAATGCCCTGAACTTTCCGCCAATGGCCTCATCCAAATCCGTCAGTGCTTTTGCAGATTACTCAGTGGCATTGCGATCTTCTCGCATTGCATTGACCGGTCTGTCAAATGCATTTTGACTTTGTACCGATGTTATTGGTTGGGAAGTCACGGGGCTTGGCAGTATAACCTACCCCTTTTTCGTGGGGCGAGCTGCCAACAGCAACCATCGGCCCCAAAACACCAAAACTTCATCACCACTCAACATGACGATGCTAACAACTACGCAGGCGAAGGAGCGTCTTCCATGTCCGCCACTGGCAAGGTAAGCTAACTCCGCCAAAAAGCATCTGTATTGATCTTTGCTAACACCTATTGCTAGGCTACTTGCGGCAACATGTATAGTCCTTCCCGACCCTTCTGTTGATGAACTTTGGATGTTTACTAACTCTTCAATAGGGGTGCTGAGATTGGTGCCACTACCTCCGTCTTCCCCTACGACAAGGCCATGTTCGACTACCTGGTCGCCACCAAGCGTTCCGACATCGCCGAGTTCGCCAAGACTTACCAGAAGGAGCTCCAGGCCGATGAGGGTGCGGAGTACGACCAGCACATCGAGATCAACCTGAACGAGCTCGAGCCTCACATCAACGGTCCCTTCACTCCTGATCTTGCCACCCCCATCTCCAAGTTCGCCCAGGCCGCCAAGGAGAACAACTGGCCCGAGGAGCTCAAGGTCGGTCTTATCGGCTCTTGCACCAACTCCTCTTACGAGGATATGACCCGCGCTGCCTCCATCGCCCGCGATGCCCTCGACCACGGCCTCAAGGCCAAGGCTGCTTTCGTCGTCACCCCCGGCTCTGAGCAGATTCGCGCCACCATTGCCCGCGACGGCCAGCTCCAGACCTTTGAGGAGTTTGGCGGCACCGTCCTCGCCAACGCCTGCGGTCCTTGCATTGGTCAGTGGGATCGCCGCGACACCCCCAAGGGCACCCCCAACTCCATTCTCAGCTCCTACAACCGGTAAGAAACTCCCTGCTTCCTTTATTGTGACGATGACGAATGCTAATTGCAATTCATAGTAACTTCACTGGCCGTAACGATGGCAACCCCGCCACCCACTCCTTCGTTACCTCCCCCGACCTTGTCGTCGCCATGTCCATCGCCGGCTCTCTCTACTTCAACCCCTTGACCGATAGCCTCAAGGACAAGGACGGCAAGGAGTTCAAGCTCCAGGCCCCCACTGGTGCTGGTCTCCCCGACCGTGGCTACGACCCCGGCCAGAACACCTACCAGGCCCCTCCTGCCGACCGCGCCACTGTTCAGGTTCAGGTCTCCCCCACCTCTGACCGTCTTCAGGTCCTCTCCCCCTTCAACGCCTGGAACGGCAAGGACGCCACCGACATGCCCATCCTCATCAAGGCCCAGGGCAAGACCACCACTGACCACATCTCCATGGCCGGTCCTTGGCTCAAGTACCGTGGTCACCTTGACAACATCTCCAACAACATGTTGATCGGTGCCATCAACGCCGCCAACGGTGAGGCCAACAAGGTCCAGAACTTCACCACTGGTGAGTGGGATGCCGTCCCCGCTGTTGCCCGTGACTACAAGGCCAAGGGTATCCCCTGGGTTGTTATCGGTGACTGGAACTACGGTGAGGGCTCTTCCCGTGAGCACGCTGCTCTCGAGCCCCGTCACCTTGGCGGTCTCGCCATCATCACCCGCTCCTTCGCTCGTATCCACGAGACCAACCTGAAGAAGCAGGGTATGCTTCCCCTCACCTTCGCCGACCCCGCCGACTACGACAAGATCAGCCCCGAGGACAAGGTTGACATCCTCTGCACTGAGCTCGCCGTTGGCAAGCCCATCACCATGCGTGTCCACCCCAAGAACGGCAAGGACTTCGACATCAAGCTCAACCACACCTTCAACGACGCCCAGATTGAGTGGTTCAAGAACGGCTCTGCCCTCAACACCATGGCCAAGAACGCCAAGAACTAAGCAGTAAAATATGCATAAAAATAATCAAAATGAGAATGACAAGAGGGACGAGTAAGGACGGGACTCTAAGGGAAAGTCGGGATGGACGGGCGGCTTTCAGGGATTTTTCAACTCGGATCGGCGTAATACGCAGACATCGCGCTTTTTCTTGTTTGTATGTATACAGTCATGGCCCTTGCGTTTCAATTGATTTCTGTGAAATTCCCCAAAGCTTGCCATGGTTTCTGTCCCGCGTGCACAATGCTCTATGAAGTTGTTCTTTATACATGTGCAGATAGTCTTGGTCAAGCTTCAACTTCGGACACGGGCACGGGCAGCCCATCTCAAACCTCAATGCAACGCAACTTGATTAAGACCCAAAACGCATGAACTGCGCTCAACACATCGCGACCGTGATCAAGAACTATGCAGTGTACTTGGATATCTTACAAGGGAGTCACCCCGTTCACTGTTAAGCCGTAGATCCGCAACAAGATATATACTGCATAATTATCGGGCGCAAGTGCAGCTCAAGTCACCAATAGGTACTGTATAGGTAGGCAGGATAGGAAGGGATCGAACATGGCCTTGTCGTAGGGGAAGCAGAGGTAGCAGCACCGATTTCCGCACCTTTATCTAAAGACTGAGCCAGTGAATAATCAAGATTACGATAGAAGGCTTTCAAAAAGCGTTGTCTCGGGACCTCAGATGTGTCTTTCTTTACTAGCTTTGCCTTGTGAGCATTTGAGTTAACCCAAACCCCTGTATTGTAAAGTGTCGTACACAGCAACCATGGCGTTTGCTGGGCAACCTATGATATGCGATTATGCGCTAAAGGTACTTTACGGTACCCCACGTACCGATGCTGCTTATCTTATCGGGTGGCTGATGTGCGACCCGTCGCAGTTCCCAAAAATGCGGCGCGTCAGAGTTGTGGTTTCAGCAACAACAGCAAACAGATGCTATACTGCAACAAGAAGTTCCATTAGTTTTCTCTTGAGACTGCAATCATTCATCTCGGTGTTGGATGTTTTGTCAGCATTTGCGCATGTCACAACCTCTCCCCCCAGTTGCACCCAAAGCCATGATGGCTTCGTCGGCATTTTCAGTGCTGAATGGCTCTGCCCAAAGTCAAGCGTTGCCTAGCGGTATCCCCAAAGGACCAAAGGCATCCCATCAATCGCATGGTAAAGCTGGCGGCGCCAAAGCCAATGGTGGTGGTGCTGCGGCGGCCCAAAGCGTGAATGCCGTCCACACTCACACGGCCATGGGCAGATGGTCCATCTTGCCCAAGGAGCCTCCAAGTAAGTTGCGATTACATCATCTGTTTGGGTTAACTGCAATCGTTAACCATGTTCGGTCTTCGACAGAACCTGATACCATCAAGGCAATCCACGTCTATGACTTTGACAATACATGTAAGGAGAATACACCCCAGCTACAGTCACAGCGGTTTGGTTAACCCGGCTCTCTCAACCAGTGTTTTCGACCCCTCTTCCGAACCCCAAGCTCTGGATAGGTCCTACAATCGGTACATTATCGAACCCTGATGCTTTTGTCAACGGCGGATGGTGGCACGACTCTCGCATTCTTGCCGCGACTGGGGAAGGTCTCGCAATAGAGGAGCCCCGCGCATGGGATGGGTGGTGGAACGAAAAGATTGTTGAGCTCGTCGAGCTTACCATGAAGCAGAAGGATGCTCTTTGCGTTCTGCTGACAGGGCGCGCCGAGGCTGGGTTCAGCAATCTGGTTCGACGCATGGTGGAAAGCAAAGGGCTCGTGTTCGATATCATTGCACTCAAGCCCGCCATCGGGCCCGACAACCAGCGCTTTTCCAGTACCATGAACTTCAAGCAGGCGTTCTTGGAGGCACTGATGGAGACATACAAGCATGCCGAGGAGATACGGATTTATGAGGACCGCGCCAAGCATACACAAGCCTTCCGCAATTTCTTAGCGGACTACAACAGAAAGCAGACTGCCACGCCAACTCGGGGGCCCATTACCGGAGAGGTTGTCCAGGTCGCCGATATATCTACCTTCTTGGATCCCGTGGTTGAAATCGCTGAAGTTCAGCAACTCATCAACGAGCACAACTCCGCTTTGGGGAGGCCGCGGCGTGGTCACCGGAACGACCGCCTCATGATCAAGAAGAAGGTTTTCTATACGGGCTACATGATTGGAAGCGCTGACACAAAACGCCTACTCAGTCTCGCACAATTGCCGACAAATTTATCCGATACCGAGCTCAAGATACACGGTAATTACATCTTGATCTGTGCGGGACCATGTTCGCAGGACATCCTGGACAAGGTGGGTGGTTTGCGTGCCAAGATGACCTGGGAGGTGACGGGAACGGCGTGCCTCGATAACAAAGTCTGGGCGGCGTCTGTTAAGCCAGTGCCCCCTACTGCGGACTTCTACACGGACAACCCGTCACCGCATGTCGTGTTGGCTATCCGTGATCGTGCCCGTCTCCAAGACGCCAACAGGATCCAGAACTGGCAGAAACTACCAGCGGACAAGGTGTTCAGATTCGAGACGACTGTCGATGAAAAGATCTTGCTCCGCATAGAGCCCGAGGATTCTCATGGGAGCTCATATGAAAGTAGGGGAAAGAAGAGGCATCATACAAGCCATGAAGATGACTTCCGGGCGCGGCCAAGCGCTCCTGGTGCATTCTCGGGCCAGAGTGGCACATATGGACAGGGAGGTCGAAACGCCCACCACCAAGGAGGCTTCCGTGGCGGAGGCAACCAAGGCGGTAGCGGTGGTAGGTTCAACCGCGGCGGAGGTGGTCAGGGCCAACGTAATTTCAGGGGCGGAAGAGGAGGCGGTCCAGGTGCTAAGGGTCGTGGCGGTCGCGGCGGTGGTAATGGTGGCGGCGGTGGCGGTCATCACTACAAGTCGCTCGATGACCTAGGGACGAAAGACAACTCTGGCGTCTCTTACGAAGACGAAGCAAATTCTTCTCACCAACAACCGCCAGGGAGAAATAACACATTCCAGCCGCCTACAGCACCGGCAGCGATGCAGCAGCAGCAGCAGCAGCAGCAGGGCGGTGGAGGATTCTACAACAACAGCAACAACACTAGTAACAACAATAGCCAGTACCAGCCACCATATCAGCAACAGCAGCAGTATGGTGGTGGCGGCGGTGGCGGTTGGCAGCAGCAACAAGGATATCAGAATCAATCACACCAAGGCGGAAGGCCAACAGGTGGCGGGAGTGGAGGAATGGGATATGGATCCGGAGGACCGGATATCAACTCCTATTACTAGGGGTATCCGCCGCGGTACAATTTGCCTGGGCCTTAGGTTAACACGACACTTGGGTCCTTTGTCTGATATGAGTGAATCGGGGATGTAACGCATTTGCATAAATATTGTATGTTACGAAGCGTCGGTTCTCGGATGGTGCTTTTCAGCGACTTATGGTAATGGTCAACACCTTCATGAAGGTCTCATCACTTCACACCCTGAGAGATAGAGAGATGTTTGTTGAGCGAATACAACTAGCGTAGATATTGTAAAAGTCCGTATCCTCGGCTTGTGGCTCATGGTCTGTGACGCTGTGTAAATTACCGTATTTCGCCATGAGCGGGACCATACTAGGTAGCTGCATACCATTCGTTGCTATCTGAACCCCTTTTGCACGATATGCGTACACTGGAGCAGTTAATGTAACCAGAGGTAAGAACTGTAAGTACTGTAAAACCTCTCCACTGGGTACCTCGATGGCAACCCCTGATGAAGTGACACGGGGAGCTTCATCGACATCATTGGCACCGTCAACTTCCTCGGCCTGCTTCCTGTCACAACGCCTTCCTTTCCGGCTGGAGTTGTGGATAGGCAAGCTTCAAGATGCCACGTCTATTAGGTACCTACGCTTTGCCATCGTCTGTCGAACTTTGGGACAATTGACTGACCTTCAATTGCAGCTAGCGCATTGAGCCTGCGGCGCGACCCGCGGTTGCTCAAGCTCCCGCCCTACCTTTCTCTGCTGTGCATCGTCGTTGGCGTCGTCTGGCTATTCCTTCTTCCACTCGACGACTATTCCCGAAGAACATACATATCCGAAAACGCCCTATTGCCGGGCCAAGTCCATACGTACTTTGGTGGCAGCGATCAGAATGTCTTCCGCGCGTACAAGCACGAGACTGACGAGCTGGCTGGCAAGGGAAACATCGAGTACGTCCCTCATCCACCCTCAGTTGGTTGGTGTTGTGTTTTTATTTCTCCCAATTTTTTTTTCGTTTTCCTTTTGAGGAGGAGAGAATGGGGACTTTGTGAAACATGCTGACCTAGATTTACTGCATTCAGGGTCAATGACAAACTCGAATCCATCGCGAAAGGTCTCGGTCTGAAAGTTGGCCGCCAAAACTTCACCTACAGTTCCGCCGGCAACACACATTCCGGCCAGAACATCTACGCGATCCTCCAAGCCCCACGCGGCGACGCCACCGAAGCCATTGTCCTCGTCGCTGCCTGGAAAAATGTCAAGGGGGAGTTAAACCGCAGCGGCGTGCCCCTCGTCCTCACCCTCGCCCGCTACTTCAAGCGCTGGTCGCTCTGGTCCAAGGACATCATCTTCCTCTTCACTCCCGACAGTATCGCGGGTCCCCAGGCCTGGGTCGACGCATACCATGACGCCCACGACTCGTCGCGCGTTGCCAGTCTGCCTCTCAAGAGTGGTGCGTTGCAGGGCGCCATTGCCCTAGACTACACCCGCGAGACCCGCTTCCAGAGCGTGCATATCGTGTACGATGGAGTCAACGGCCAGCTTCCCAACCTGGACCTGATCAACTCGGTTAACCATGTTGCTGGCGGCCAGATGGGCATGGGCGTTGCGATCCAGGAAATGTGGAAGCACAGCAATAGCTACCACGACCGGCTACAGACCATGCTGCGTGGTATGCTCAAGCAGGGTCTGGGGCTGGCGAGCGGCCCACACAGCAGTTTTATCCCGTACCATGTGGACGCGGTGACATTGCAACCATTTGGTGAGGGTTGGCAGGATGAGATGGCCATTGGAAGGGTTATTGAGGGCACTTTCAGGAGCTTGAATAACCTGCTGGAACACCTGCATCAGAGCTTTTTCTTCTACTTGCTCATGCAAAGGGAGCGGTTCGTGAGTATTGGCACGTATTTGCCCAGCGCTATGTTGGTGGCAGCCAACTTTACAATTATGGCGATTGCTCTTTGGGTGAAGAGCGGACAGCCCGACGTGCAAGAAATCATCACGGAGAAAACTAAGACGGCTGAGGAAGCTGAGAGAATCGTTTCGCCTAACCCGCACGTCGCATCGGAGAGGGATCTTTTTCTTCCTCTGGTTCTCGTGGCCGTTTGCCAGTTTTTGGGCGTGGTACCTCTCTATTTGTTCAACCACCTCTCAGAGAGTGTAAGTGTTTTGCCCCCTTTCCACAATTCCTTGCTCATTGATTGCGTGCTAACAAAAACCGCAGGCCTTGATTCCAGCCTTCGTCCTCTTCAGCGTCCTTTCCTCGATCCTCCCATTCCTCCTCTCCAACCTTCTACATACCTCGACAACCTCAACCACAGCCCAACAATATCACCTCATCCGCTCCTTTTCTCTCCTCCTTCTCGGCATGTTCCTTTCCTCGCTTGCGACCCTCAACTTTTCTCTCGCCTTTTTCGTAGGCGTCTTCAGCGCTCCGCTGACCTTTGTCCGCCCTTGCCCCAACTCTTCCACCCTTAGATGGCTGTCTATGGTCGTTTTGTATGTCTTGTCTCCGACTACGGTGGTGTTAGTCGCCAGCATGCTTCCGGGTTTGGACGAAAAGGTGGGATGTGGGTTGGGAGAGGTGCTGAGGCAAGCGGCGTTTGCTTGGGATGTCACGGGGACATATACGCCTGTTGTGGTATGGTGTGTGTGGTGGCCTGCTTGGATTGTTGGAGTTGTATCCGTCTTGGGACGGCCTGGTGCTGGTGATAAAAAGGTGAAGAAGGCTTGAGAGGTATGTTCTATACGTTATATTCGGGGTTCGTGGGGGAGTTTCTTTTAGACGGCATCGCGTGGTACACATTCACTTCAAGTTTTGGTCTTTTTCATGGCTTTTGGGACAAGAAACTAAATATGGTTGCTCAAAGTCTCAGGACATATCCATGACCCATACGTCTATCTATCTAACACCACGCGCCCGACGGAACTCTCAAGCACTTGGAGCTCTTCTTCCCACCCTTGATATCAACTTGATTCCATTCAAATTGCTTACAAGATCCATCGCCGCAGTTGATAAAGATGTTAGTGCCAGAGGACAGAACATTTCCCGTCACGTTGGAAAGTGTAAACCCGGTGATAGGCACACCATTAGTTGGCGACGCGTTCTTAGAGGAAGAACCGTAGGACTGGTCAACCATGATGCCGTATTTGGTGATGTTTTGGAGCTTGACATTGCGGTAAGTGATGTTGGAGACGAGACCCGTGGTTCCGTAATTGGTCTTGATTCGGGCGCCTGAGGTATCGCAAGTCGGAGCGTTAGAATCTATGCTTCCTGTTGCCAAGCGACGGGGAAGCTAAGGAGAAAAAGGGTACTTACCGTTCTCTGAGTTCGCAATCACTGAGTTCTCAAACAGGACATTCTTGACGGTGTTATCGCTTCTACCGCCCACGGAACCAATGGACAGACCATGCCCCCCCGAGCAAAGACCATTGCGGAAAGTGATATCCTGGTTGAAGCGAAAACGTTGATCAGCCGACGGAAGGTTCCCCAGAAAAAAACTGGAGGGAGGGGGGAAAAAAAAAGCTTACCGTGCCCGAATTAATAGCCACACAATCATCCTGGTTATACACCTTCGCGCCGTCAATCACCACGTTACTGGATGACCCAATATCAAACGCATCCGTGTTTCTTCCTCCTTTACCGGCATTCCAGTCTCCATCACCCGCCTTGTTGTCAAGTGTGAATCCTGTCACCGTCAAGTTCTTGCATCCGTTGATACTCATCACCTGCACTGGTGCATTGAGGATCGTGACACCCTCGATCACGGAATCCTCAAGATTGTGCACCTGGAAGAACTTGGGTTTCTTGATGGGTCCCTTTTGTCCCAAACCGTCCCAGTACTTTTCGCCGCTGCCGTACAACACAGAGGAAGAGAGGCCGCGGATGGTCAGCTTGGAGGAGGAGGAGATGGAGAGGAGGGGGCCCGCCCAGCCGGAGGAAAGGTAGGGGAACGTGGTATTGCCGGCAAAGGTTACTGTCGTTCCTGGATTGAGCTTGTCTAGGGTGAGAGTCTTGCCCGCGGGTACTTGGAGGTCGGAGATGACGATCTCTTGACAGGAGCTGAGTCCTTTGGAGAGGAGGTCGAAGCCAGTTGAGCCGCTGAAGGTGCAGGAGGACGACGCTTTTATGTGGTTGCCAGATGTTGATGGGATCGAGGCTGCCATCGCACTTCCGAGGAAGGCTGGCAAAAGAGAGGCGGTGATTCTCATGGTTGTTGGAAGCTGGTAGACTTGACTATGGTACCCCTTTATCGGTATAGGCACAACAAGAACAATTGAGATGAATGCTCATAGCACATGAAGAAACCAAACATTAGGCAAGACCAGATTTATATAAAATCAGCTGTGTGGGAAAAGCTGCAAGATCATCTCATTTCCAAGACCGGGGGTTTGAAACGTAGCGGTGTTCGTAACGAGGATGAACATACGAGAATACTACGCTGTCGATTATTAAGGTAAAGAGACGAGTGCCACCCACTTAGTAAGTTGCAGGAGAAACGGCACTTTTCTTTCCTATGGATTTACCTGCGTTCGGCGTACATTTGACCGAGCGGACAAATTCGAGGACTGGTTATGGATTCAAGTCGTCGTCATCCATGGTCGGTGCCCCCGAGGTGGGAGGGAGTAAAGGAGGAGGAGAATGAAGACAAGGGGTTGTCCTGAGGGAAGACCCGCATGTTGTGCGTGCGGAAAATCGACTGCTGTGTTCTTTGCCCTCCTCCTGCAATGTTCTTCCTCCAAATCTTCGCGCTGTGATCTTGTTAGGTTTTGATGTTGAGTTGTCAATCCCGTCTTGTCGTCGAGCGGCTTGAAGTCAAAAGTGGGGCAGTTGCACGGTGAAACTTCACCTTGGGTTCACCGGGCAATACCCACCGAATTTTTCTCCTTTAATAACATCAGCACGAAATTACCAAGCGCTTTCGCAACAGACTTCAGAGCTTTGAAACAACATCTTGAGCTTGGCCTATTTCAAACGTCCAGAGTTTTCGTCCTCTCATTTCCACTTCCACAACCACCAACCAACCAATCATCCTTCCAAAAAAATCCTTCAACATGTCTGACAGCAAGCAAATGAGCCAGCAAGAGGTCTCCGCCAAGTTCACTTCCTACTACCTCCAGCGAGCAACCAAGGAGTTTGCCGAAGATTTGGACAAGGTGCGCACGGCTGACGACTTTAAAAACGATGCGATCCACCTGCTCGTGAACGCGCTACAGCAGGGTACTGCGCTTTTCTCTCCCGAAGAGCAGAGGAGGATAGTCGAGTCTGGGGCGGAGAGGAAGTGATGAGGACGAGCGACGCAAGTTTTGAAGGGGAGGGATCACGGAAGCTCAGAGAAGTTGGAGGTTACATTTTGCGTGATCGCAGCAAGATCCGAAGATGGGAGGTCGTCTCTCGCAGTCCATCGGTCCAAGACGAGAAAGGCTATTGAGAGGGCCATGCGAATCCTTTCCACGTCAACCTGTCTATCGACATGACACAACCGGGGAGAGACTGATTGGTTGAAGCAGGAGCTGTTCACCCACACGATCACCCGCAGTCGGTTCTACGACCATGGTTGGAAGAGCAGAGCCAGGCGCAAACCTCAAGGCCGCGGAAGATGGGCATGGAATACCCGTAAAAGCATAGAACATGCGACCAAGGAAGAATGATATGCTGCACAAGAATGATAACCTGATAAATGAAGTCAACCGGTTTAGATGTGGCTGGCTGTTGTACAATTTCTATCCAACAGAGGCCGTTCATACTGAAAGGCGCATTCCGGTGCCTGGCTGTTTCTAAGTGTTATAATTGCAGTTACTAATAATTGTAACCATGACAACATGGCCGAGTGGTTAAGGCGACAGACTTGAATACCGCCTTTATTCAGCTATCTGTTGGGTTCGCCCGCGTAGGTTCGAACCCTACTGTTGTCGACATTTTTTGTTCTTTTGAACCATGTTTTTTTTCCTTCTATTGGCTTCAACATGTAATTTCACTGATATGTGTGAGATAGATCTCGTTTTCAATTTCTTTTTTGGGCCGTGATTGCTAGCTAGACCCTGGACATACAAAAAAAGCCCTTTGGTTTTCCAAAGATAAAGACCCAAAAAGTCTATCGATGGAAAGGGGGGATGCAGTGTGGTGCACCTTCCACACGTAGAGGCACTAACCTGCCAAAAAAGACACTGCAGTTTATGCGGTGATAATGTGCTTCAAAACCAGAAGGAACAAATCGAGGGGGAGGGAGAAGGCACGACAGAACTGAGTGTGGAATGCTGAATGATATGTACTGACACTTCGCCTCGACTCACTACATTGTTCAATGTATGTATATGTACCTATGTACTTATAATGATATGTTTACCCTCTCCATGTCCCTCCCCTCCCGTACGGGTGGTTCGGGTTGAAGCTCTGCCGAAGTACGGTGCTTCAGATACACCCAGTATCACTTCCAGTCTGTGTACAAGTCAACACTGCTAGCCAGGTCATTGATGTCTCAAGTTCAATACCTTTAAAAGGGAATAGTTTGGACTGGATCACTGCATAATATCATGGACGGTGAAGAACTGGTTAGACCCCTCCACTCCACTTCCGACCAGCGACTTATCCGACACGGACGGGGCCAGGGCTGACCAACGCTCCCCACGGCCGCGACGGAACCCCGGGAGCCCGCCTGTCAGCTTTAGTCAACGAGACTACACAAGCTTGGGGTCGGACCTTACTCCTGACCGACATTCGACGAGGGGCCGATTTTTTTTTTTTCTCTGAAAACGTCGGATCATCATCTACCTAGGTTACGTACCTTGCAGCAATAAGACCGATAAGGAAGCACTAAACGTCGGTGCTTGCGACAAGGCGGTCATACATACCTACCTGCTACGTCCACGACCCCCCCTCCTCCGCCTTCCTCGTTCGACAGGACTACAACGCCAATTGTCCAGTCTCCATCAACGGCCCGAGTCCTCGAGACGCTGTATGCCATTCAGAGACGATCGAGTTCGCATACAACGGGCGCTCGCAAGTTTAATCTTGGACGTGGAGATACCCTCTCCTCCATCGACGGCGCATCTTATCTGGGTTCTTCCTGAACGCAGACCGACCGCGGACCAATCTACCACCCGAATCACGACCTCACACACACACACGAATTTGCATAATGGCAGCCCAAACACTGCCCGCCTCCGGGGCTGCCGTGACGTTCAATACTCAGCGCACGCGTGCATATCTCCTTAAGCTGCCACTTTTCACAAGAGCCACGGTGCTAATCATTGTCCTGACATGGGTTCTGACGTGGGTCGGCAAGTCATGGAACTGGGACGTCAAGACGTGGGGCGCGCTGATACCGGACGAGATTGGTATTGCGACGTGTAGGTTCTATTCAGTTTTTGTCTTCTTCGGTATGGTCATGCCAGGGAGTGGCCAAAGTGGAGGACCTCGCTGAAGGGAATGGGATGGGAGGGAATCCTCAATTGGATGCAAAGCACGCGCTGGTAGCGGATACCCCAGATACCGAACAGCAGTCCTGCGGGATGGCAGGAGGCTTCACATTCTGAAATGGGTTATGCCCCAACGCTGGCCTGTGACATGAGACCTGCCCGAGCACACCTGCTAACACTCTTGGCAACAGTATATCGCATCAACACATTCCCCTTCATCCACCTGAACATCTTCCACACAATACTCAACATTGTCGCCTTTACACCTCTTCTCGAGCGGTTCGAGCATGAACATGGTACTTTGACCTCTGTGGCGCTCTTTTTTGGCCGTAAGACAACCCCCCTCTCATCTCCTTGAAATTACCCGGGGCCACAACTCACACGTTTGTTCTCCTCTAGCATTCGCAACGATACCGGGCCTCATCTACGTCTTCATCGAAAGGTTCATCCTTCACGCCAACACGCCAGTCATGGGAGCCAGCATGTGGGTGTTCCTGCTGCTGGGCATGGAAGCTATTCGCACCTACAAGACCAATCCCTACTTCACCATCAGCACCTACAACATTCCTACGTGGATCACTCCTTTGTTGTTGGTGGTGGTTACTGCTGCGTTGCTGCCGAGTTCGAGCTTCCTCGGGCACTTGGCCGGTCTGCTTGTCGGTTATGGGTGTAAGTGTTTCAATCCCAACTGCTCCCCTACCTACGTTCATGTTGAGGAAAAAAAGAGCTATATTTGCTAACATGAGAACAAATAGTCGGCCTAGGATACCTCAAGTTCCTCGCCCCTCCTGAATGGGCGTTGCGGTTCATCGAAGGAAAGCTCAACCTCTTGGGCAGACTGCCTCACTACGTCAGCGTGGATCAGAAGACTTTTGGCAGATTCGGTGTCCTCCCTTCCTCTGCCTCATCAGCCGAGGCTGGCATTCCGTTTTCCGGGGTCTCTGGTGGCCAGCGGTTGGGACCTTGAAAGAAATACGGGTTCCCGAAATATGGCGTACATTACGTGCATGAGCAGAAGAGCATAAAAGTATGAAATGGTGCATACGAGGCATGCGTGTCATGAATAATGGATATAGAAAGGAACTTTACTGTTAATGTATGATGCTGTACAACTAAATATAGGGCCGGGGGAAAATGGAGATGGTAGTTGCATGGCGTTCTCTGGATATGAATCGAATTTCCTCTTGGGATTTGAAGTCTGCAAGTAGAGTCTTATTCGAGATGATGAGTGCCAATCATTCAGCTCGAACACGTCCATGAATGATGAGTACGGGGTCTTGTGGTCTCCAAAGTCTCATAGCGTCATAAAGCTCGAGTCATTATGGCAAAGGTCGCGAGTTATCCAGATGTAATAATATGTTGTCACTTTGCTTTTCCCACCCTTTTCACGCTTACAACAAAAACTTTCTATTCATCAGTATACTTATTCCCCTGTACGGTAGTAGCGCAGTCCCAATTAATGGACCAAAAATTCCTTCCTATCCCCAATTTCAACCTCCTTGCCCCCCCAATGATCAGCCTAGCCTAGCCCACAGCCTCAAGCAGCAGCAGCAGTAGCAGCACCCTCCTTTTCCTTCCACCCCAACTCCCTCAACGTCCAACCCTTCCCCTCTGGCGTCTCAGCCCCGGCCCCCTCCTCCGGCTTCACCTCAAAATTAGCATAGCAATAAAACTCATTGCTCAACCCCCTCGCATGCTTAGGCTCAAACGTAGTAGTCCTCAGGCCGTAGCTCTTATACAGCTTCTCCGTAACCAGCGTCTCCATGCGCTCGCCCGTGCAAGCAATGATCTTGGGCATTTTACCCTTCTCCTCCTTCTCCTCCTCCTTACCTTGGGAAGATTTGAGCATCCACCTAACCGTCAACGCAGCCTTGGTTTGGCAATCCTCGCTCAAAAAGGGAGGATCAACAATGACGCGGTCAAAGGCGCCCTTGAGGTGGCTCGGAAGCTTGAGCGGCTGAGCGAAATCGTAAAAGACGAATTCGTCAGCGAAAACGGCGAAGCGGTTGTCGTGCTCGAGCAAGGTGAGTTTGGGCTTGGGCTTGTCTTTGTAGGCGTCGCTGTTCAAAAGGTTCTTGAGCTGAACGAAGACGGACGGGGCGGAGACGACGGCGATGGAGGTGGTTGGAGTAGCGTCGGCCAGGAGTTGTTTGGCGAGAAAGGTAGCTGTTTCATCGGAGTACTGTTGAATTTTCATGTCAGTTGGTTCGTCTTCGTCGGTTGAAGGTCTCTCTGTAAGCCATATGTAAAAATTGATGAAAATGATATCACTCACCCAGAACTGACTCTCATTCCAATCCTCGGTGAAAGCATCCATAGACAGCTTGACGTTCAAAGCATGCCTCTCCTCAGCCTCGGCCTGGAGCTTAGCAAACTGCTCAGCACGGGCATCGCGCTCGGCGTAAAAAGATTTGAGGGCATCAAGGGTTGAGGTAGAGAGTTCGCTTCAGATAGTCAGTACCCTGTGGATCACGATTTCATTAAAATAAGTTACTGGTAGTGAGGCATTACTCACAGGTCACTCTCATCATCAGAGAATTTGTCAATGATGCACGCCATTTTGGACCCCAAGCCTAATCACAGTATGGCTCGATTCGATATGGTTCGGGTACAAGTGGGAGCGAATCGATTATAATCGGTTGTATAAGTGGGCAGTGAGTGACTGTTAGGTTGTAAGTGTTGGGGAATGGTGTGCTCTTGGCACTAACAGTCAAAGTTTAACGGGAGTGTGCAGCATCGTTCGGAAAAAAATTGTGGATGCATTGATGACATTTTCCTTTATCCGTTCCCCTTTTTGGTCGCATCATACCAGTAAACACAACCCCGCCGAGTTGAAGGCTTCAATCTCACCCCAGATCGTTCAAACGCTTGCGCAAATCTTTTGATTGCTCTAATTCTCACCACAGCATCCAGTCTGGACGTTCTGTGTTCCGTCGACTCACCAAATGCTCTACGGTGGATTTCTACAATCTACATGCATCCCTGTGCAACCCCAAAGATACTCACAGCATGTGAATGTACTCCCTGTCCTCCCTCCTCTCCTTTTCGGTCGCTGGCGGAAGGTCGTAGTAGGCATTGCTGCGATAACTTTGCTGCATGGGAATCAGTCATCATTCTTTTGCACTCGACTTGTGATGTGGGCAACTTACCAAGTAATGGTAGGTGAAGTTGGCGATATCTGCAGGCTCGATGCCGAGGTCCTTGAAGGTCTTGGCCTCCGGATCGATGACCTGGTCGTGGAACTCACGCTCAATCTCATCGGCAGACATGATGGGCCACCAGAGGGCCTTGTTCAGGACACCGGCGATCGGCTTGAGGATCTTCTTGGGCACATTCACGTGGCGCCGCCTCTTGTAGATTTCGCGGTCAACCATCTCGGAGATCTCAGCGGTAGTGTAGGTCTTGGGACCGTAGAGCTCAAAAGTCTCCGAAGCAGTGTTGTCGTCCCAGAGCATCTGTTCAAGAGCCTGGCCAACATCAATCACCTAAAACGGCTGTCAGATGCTACCGTCCGCGCGCAAAGGGTTATATCCGGGGGGGAAGACGTACGTGAACAGGGTTGTATTTCTCTTGCATCCCATTGGATGTCAGGATATTCTTGACGCTGGCAAGCTTGTGAAGCAACCTGTCCTCGAAGCCAAACATGGGAGCTGGCCGGACAATGGTGGTTTCGGGGAAAATGCTCCTGACTACTTGCTCACCACGCGCCTACAGATCCAATTAGAAACCCTCAACGATGCAACTCGCTGGAAGAGGCTGTCTTGTAATCGTACCTTGGTGGCGAAGAACTCGCATTCCGAGTTGGGGTCTGCATTGTAAGACGAGACGTGGATGAAGCGGTCGACATCGTATTTGGCGACAGCTTCGGCGATGCGCTCAGCACCCTCGATATGGACGTCCTCGAACGAGAAGTTCCTGGGACCCAGGTCAATACTTGTGCATCTCCACCACAACTTTTCCCATTAAATCCAGACTCACTTGGTCGGGTAGTCGCGACCGATCAGGTTGTAGACGACATCCGAGTGTCTGACGCTCTCCTCGATGGATTGGGTGTTGCGCAAGTCGAACTCCTGGAGTGGTGGTTATGCTTAGTAGCTGGATCCTTGCGCGTACGTGGGCCTCGACTGTGTGGACATGACTCTTGTTGTGGGGAAAAGCTCACTATCATGACCACCTTGCCCAAATCACCCGTAACTTTCAGATGGCGCTTGTTGTACTCGTCGCGGAAGGGAATGACGACAGTGCATCCTTGTCTCGCTGCAAACGTTCTTGATATAAGCCATGGTGATCTCTATAAAGGCCTACGCCACGAAGTCGCCAGATCGCACCTAGTCTGTTGACGATGTAGCGGCCGAGCTGGCCGGTCGCACCGAAGACTGTCGCAGTATGTCCACCGAGGGAGGAGCTGTAGAGGTAGACGACGTGTTAGCAATCGTCCATTCTACCCAAACAGAGATATAGCAACAATTACCGGCCACCCTGGTTACGGATAATGGGCTTGCCGGTGCGGGTGATGGTCACGTCGGAGATAGCCCGTCGCTGAAAGCCATAGGCGTTGGAAACGATAATTCTAGGAGTCGACCGCATCGCGGCCATCAGAGGAGCCATCTTGTGAGTTGTGGGGTGGCAGGGCTGGCCGGATCCCGTTCAATTGGCGATGGAATCAGAGGCTATCCGGAGCTTCAAGCTGCCGTCTTCAATATCGATCCGGGACGTCGAAGCCGGCTCTCGCTGCCCGCCTGCTGCCCGCCTGCCGTCAGCACCCCCCCCTTCAATGTAGCTGACGGGAATCACGTGTGCCAAGCAGCTTCACTTACACTTAACGGCAGTACGTACCTCTACTACTTAGGCATGTACCTTTTGGGCTTCCGCCTCCAGTACCTTAGCTTCACCCAGCTTCCACTTGGCAGTGACTGTGGGGGCCTCCACAGTGCTGAGAGAGCATCCACAATGACCGACCGTAGCTGGCTGCACGCCTAACGCCGCGTCAAGGCTTCACTGCAAGACGTCAACCAAGACAACCTCAAACAACACTTTCATCCTCCATTGTAGACGTACCACTGCATTGCCTCGCCGGGATTGTATACAACGAGCAACATTCCACGATACGCTGGTTTCCATCCGCAGCAGACTCACCGACGTTTCCACCAAAGAAACCGGATCCTCGAGAACCTGCCTACCTCCCCAAGGACTGGACAGCAAGGATCGATAGAAGACTCAGACACACACACACACACCTAGACACAACAGCACAGCCATGAACGTCGACACCATCTCCGACTTCCTCGCCGAGCAGCGCGACCAGGCGCCCGAAGAACTCCAACCCCTCGTCCTTGAGTTCGAGACACTATGGGAGCGCAAGCTGTGGCATCAGCTCACCAACCTGCTGCTTGAGTTCTTCAACCACCCCGGCAGTGCCCCGCAGAGGCTACAGTTCTACAAGGTCTTCATTCTCAAGTTCGCCGACAAGATCAACCAGCTCAAGCTCGTTGATCTTGCTCTCAAGGCCGCCACACAATGTAGAGGTGCGCAGACGGTCTTCATTTCCTCTGCTTCCCAACATGCATCTGGCAGCTAGCACTAACCATGCCTGGGTGCGCAAACCGTAGACAACCAAGAGCGCCTCTCCTTTTTGGAAGCCGTCGTCAAGAAGGTCGACCACGAAGACTCTCAAGACGCCTATGTATTCGCCACGATCGCCGTTGCCCGCGTGAAGCTCGACCTCTCCGACCTTGACGGCGCGCGCAAGGACCTGGACACGGCCGAGCGAATCCTCGACAACTTCGACTCGGTGGAGTCGGTCGTGCACGCCGCCTTCTACGACACCAACGCTAAATATTTCCAAGCCAAGTCCGACTGGGGCTCCTACTACAAGAACGCGCTGCTGTACCTCGCCTGCATCGACGTCAAGTCACTTTCACTCGAGGAGCAGCGCCAGCGCGCCTACAACCTGGCCATCGCGGCCCTCGTCAGCTCGAGCATCTACAACTTTGGCGAGCTTCTGCTGCACCCCATCCTCGACGCCCTCACCATCGACGACCGGCACAAGTGGCTGCACCAGCTCCTCTTTGCCTTCAACCGCGGCGACCTCGCCACATACGACCTACTGGCCAGCCACATCAGCTCGGACCCGCTGCTGGCGCAGCACACGCGCCAGCTGCGCGAGAAGATCTATCTGGCGGCGCTGACCGAGGCCGTGTTTCGCCGCCCGCCCCATGACCGCGCCATGTCTTTCTCCACCATCGCGAACGAGACCAAGGTACACCCCGACGAGATCGAGCATCTGATCATGAAGGCGCTGAGCTTGGATCTGCTGCGGGGCACGATCGACCAGGTTGACGAGGTGGCCCACATCAACTGGGTGCAGCCCAAGGTGTTGGACATGCAGCAGATCAAGAACATGAGGCAACGGCTGCAAGAGTGGGATTCCAGTGTTGACAAGCTTGGTAACTGGATCGAGGGTGTGGGCCAGGATGTTTGGGCTTAAAGGCTGGACGAATCTACGGACGGTGAGACGAGATGGGAACAATTCGGGCGTTCAAACGGATGGCATCAAACCTGGAGATACAGGAGTAAACCTAATGCTTAGATCAGGGAACAAGGCCAGCTAAAGGCATGATGTTATTCCGCTGCATGAGGCAGACCGACTTTACATGATACATATGAATACCCTTAACGCATGACAATGCCCACAGCGTACGTCCTCCATTCTCTAAATATCCAGGCCCATGCTTTGGCCTGAGTTATGTCTATGTGAATCCTCTCCAAGTACGCTCCATGAACAAAGACAAATCCAAAATACGCCGGCAGAATATGCTTCCTTGAACGCCGCAAAAAGATCAAGTATTGTACAAAACGTAAATGAGCCATCTGGCACGTGTTTACTGAAAACAACTCATACACAAGCAAAATATTTGCTGCTTACTTGCCCCTACTCGTACACCGTTTATCCGAACTCAAGACAGGGACCGAACAATGTAAAAGAGAAGATAGGCCTTTGCGTTTAGCACATCAGACTTCTGGGCCAGTTCAACTTTGTGATCGTTGAATGCGAACCACTAAATAAATGTGCCAAAGGCAGCGGGTCAGCAAGTCTAACCCTTCAGGAACTAGATGTGTGTCATGGTTCACTAGTCAGACTCACCTGGTCGCCAACCCGGCAATAAGAAATGTAGTGTCCGGTATCCATGTCGCCAACGTGCACAACAACGCAAAGAAGATCATAAGTGCAGGACCGCTGTAGCTCGTAGTTATCTTTGAGATCCTGTGTTCGTGCGCGTGTCGTATAAGGCAGCATGTTGAGTTGTAGAGGAAACTGGACAGGTGTCTCGATCTTCTGGGCACGATCATTACGCCCTTGTTTGAACTCGAACCTCTGTTGGCAACTATCAGCTTCTGTTGTCTCCGAGCGAAGCCAGCGGTAACGGCTAGTAAGGAATGTGCATGAGGAAGGACTCCTGGTAATCTGACCTTGAGCTGGATAGAAAGAACGTTGGGTAATTTCTTGATACTGGTCTGTCTTCTTGCTTGCTGTACTGAATTGCAGTTCTGACACCGATACTCGCACTTATCGGATTTGATGTATTCTTCGTCCAAGCATTCTTGGAGAGTCACGCTGTTTTGCGTTCTTGTCGATGCAACCCCGTCGCCATTACTCAAGTTCTTCTTGCCCCTTTTTTGCGTCAAATTTTCCAAGGGAACACTGAGATCCAAAAAGCTCTGGGCTTGATTGGTGACGCCCCCACAGTTTTGGCACGTTGTGGACGTCTGTAACTTTCCGTAGTATGTTTGGTGGATGATGCAGTTGCAGGTATGCTCACTGCCAATTTCCGGTCTCTTGCCGTCGCCATTTCTCTCGTGTAATTCCTCAGCCATGAACTGGAAAAACTCATGAGCATCTTGCTCCTTGTTGGCTACCAAGTTCTCAAACGCCTTGTTCTCGCTGATCCAGAATCCGGACAAGATATTTGCGGCGGTATAACCGTTCGTCGTTTCGCTGGCATAAAATTCCTGGAACATATCGTCCATGGCACAACTGAGGCAATGGGGTGTGTCGCAACTGCCTGACTGATGCCCATCACTCAGGTAGAAGTTGCGTAGTATGGGATTGTGGAGGAATGATTGGAGGACAACGTTTTGATAGCAAGTTGCTCCGGCATTATAAATGCCACGGAGACCGTTGGCCTTGCAGGTGGCAAGGGTGGTGTTGGTCGATATATACTGGGGAGCGTCTTTTACGGGATCAGGGGCGAAGAGTTCCTCATGTTTACGCTTTCGGCCTGTGATAGAGATACAGATTAGTAACGGCCAGGGCTCATCGACATAGGAGAAGGTACCGGGCATAAGCCCACATGGGTTAGACGGAGAAAAGGACAGAAGAACATACTACCGAAAAACGACCCTGTGCCGAGCTTCTTTAACCTCAAATCCTCAAAGGTAGGGTCCCAAACGATATCATCACACATTTGGCAATACAGCGCTCCGCTCCTCGACTCAACATCTGATTATAACTGTCAGTTTCCTTGCCCCATGATTTGGCTCCTTCTGGCAGAGGCAGCGAACGTACAGAAGCGATGTGATTTTTTGTTGCCGTGTTTTGTAAGGTCATCGTCGGTGAGAGTCGAGGGGCATTGCAGACAAAGGTAGGTTGGGGTAATGGATGTCACAACCTGGCCATCTACGCCCTTGGCCGTGTGTGACAGGATAGGGTTGATGTCGAAGATGGCTCGCAGAATGGTCTTGTAATGTTGTATGGACATGTTGATCGTCGCTTGATCTTGGTTAAAGAGACGGCCGACATGCTCTAGAAGAGGTTAGAAAATAAGGCCGTGTAGCAGGGACAAGAATGGGCTATCTTACCACATCCATACATTGGCTGGCCGGGCTGGGGCTCCTTGACCTTGTGGTCCTTGGAGGACGCAGCGTTGGCCGACATGGTGATGTGATTGTTCGCTCGTCGAAACCCCCAAATGTGAAGCCCGTGTGTGCTAGTAGTTCTGAAGGGGAGGACCTGTGTTCGAATTCGCAGTGGTTGGAGCGGTCCGTGACCGGGTTAGCAACGAGGACGAGTGTTGCTTCAGACGCTGGGGATGATGTTCCTGGATTTTCGACTCGTAAGATTCGAAACAATGGGTGAATCTAGCAGCAGAATTGGCTTTATTGAGCCTGGCTTTTCACCAGTCGAGATGGCTTGTAAGGGTCGTGGCGAGGCCGGCAAATCGCGTTCCGATCGGGAAAGAGCACAGTTCCCGGCGGTTCAGTCCAAGTACCTGGAATAAGAGGACTTGTTAGCAGAGTTGCACGTCAATTAACGGTCGCGCATTTTTCTATTGGCAACATTTACTGGTGATTTCTATCTTACCGTCTATAGAAGCAACGTGTACAAAGCCGGTAAAGTACAATAGGGATCTTCTCTGGTTGTGTTGGTTCTCTCGAAGCAAGATGGGTTTGAAGTTGTTCGGGGTTGGAATCTCCATCCGATTTCCGCGGCGTCAACATGGGCATTCAATCAATGGACGCCAACTGCACTTGCACGGCAGCGACTTGAACGGCTTATCGAACGCTACCTACGCAAGGCTTATCGATAACGAGAAAGGGGACAGAACCAACCTACGGGTGGAACCTGTTCAACGCACTAGACACATATAAGTACCTAGGTATGTAACTCTTCGTTGTGTCTGATTGGCCCGTAGCACTCATACCAGAGCGTGCAGCGGGACGGGAGGCAGCGAGGTACCTGAGACGGAGTCTGAGGATCTCTGTAGTGTACTTCTCAACCGAGGTGTCTGCCATGCCTGCATTTCACTTCACAATCAATTCTCCCAACGACTAGGCAACCTCCAGCGTGAGCCATCGTCATTTGAGAAGCTATACTTCAGAAAATCAGAACTTTCTGGAGGCTGATTTGGCTCTCTTCTGTGCTTCATTACTTGCCAAGTGGTAACCTGTTCTGGCCTCTGGTTCAGATCACGGTCCAAAGGGTTGGCAGCACATCTAGAGGTATCCTCTATCGTCTGTATCGATTGTGACCGATGATGTGGCTGTATGTCAAATGCTCCCGTTATGACAAATCTTCGCAGACAACAAGCCGTTGATACAGTCTCTAAACACATCAGTTATAGCTAAGTATGTCAAGAAATTGGAGCGATTCGGACAAGCACACAAACACCATCAAGCGGGTTACGTTCCTGGGAGACTTGGTATCAACAGAAAAGGGATTCTTCAGGCCACAACTTACAACACGTTCTCACAACAAACTTGAACTTGGCAAGCCCGGCCAGCAAACCATTCACCCCGAGTCCGGCTCATATGGCCGATTCGCCAGGTGATCTTCGGAGCTTGCGCGGGTGGTAGCCGGACATTGATTATGTGCGATGGTATCATTGCCGACGCCTCGGCTCGGCAGTACCCCGCAGTCTGTTACCTAGTACACTATGTACATAGTAGCTCTCTTTTTCTCTATACGCGGTACAGGACGCAATATCCCACCGTGTTTCACACCAAGTAAGGTTCTCATTCGGAATCGTCACTACTTCCTGTGTGTCGTTCATTTTTTGCCCGTACTACTCCTGGTCCTGGATGTCCTCACCTGTCATCCCGCTCCTGGGACGCTCAACCAGGCCATCATTGTATCGAACTTCATCATCATTTAATACACGGCTATCTCGCCTGTTCAAGATCCCATATCAACATCTGAAAACAGATCACAAGCATAACCGCAGTATCACAATGTCTTCATCTGCAGTCCAACCGCCAATTACTCCTCTCCCCGAAGTCACCCGCCTCAGCCCAACTGTCATCCGCATCCTCGGCGGCAACCCCGGCAAATTCACCCTCCAGGGAACTAACACCTATCTAGTCGGCACCGGCCCCCAGCGTCTCCTTGTCGACTCAGGCGCCGGCGAGCGCTCCTGGATCTCCGCCCTACAACGGACCCTCACCGAGGAGAAAGCTCACATATCAGCCGCCATCATCACTCACTGGCACCACGACCACACCGGCGGGATCCGGCACCTGCTCGACTGGAACAGCAAGATCAAAGTCTATAAGAACCAACCTACCTACCTACCAGGCTACCACGGCAGCCCAGTCTCGCTCGAGCAAATTGGCACTCCACTTCTCCCCATCGAAGACGGACAAGAGTTCAGCGTGGAGGGCGCCACGCTTAAAGCAGTGCACACCCCAGGCCACACGGTCGACCACATGGTTCTCCACCTGGCCGAGGAGGACGCGCTCTTCACGGGGGACAATGTGCTGGGCCACGGGACGGCCGTGTACGAGGATCTGGGAGTGTACCTGAACAGTCTGGAGCAAATGCGAGGGCTGTTTAAAGGGAAGGGGTATCCGGGCCACGGACCGGTGGTGGAGGACGGGCCGGGCAAGATTGGAGAATATATTAGGCATCGGCAGCAGAGGGAGGACCAAGTTATTGCAACGTTGAAGAGGGACAGTGAAGATGGATGGACGCCGATGGAGTTGGTTAAGGTTATTTACCAGGGCGTGCCGGAAACTTTGCATATACCGGCCGCTGGAGGGGTGACGCAGATCCTTTATAAATTGAGGAAAGAGGGGAAGGTGACGACGGCAGATGGTGGTGATCGATGGCGGCTGACTGATCGATCGGCGCTGTGAGAAGATGGCGCTCAGGGTCACAACGTGGGAAAAACCAGCCAGCCGGTT